CCAATAACCAGAAGCTGTGAACAAATTACATTCCATGGTAAACAGGAATTAAGAATGTGATGAAACTGACTGCTGATCTCACTTTAAATAAGATTTTTTGGGATTAACCTGTATATCTGACAGGGGCCCTTAAATGGAGAAGGAAAAGAGTGATATAAGAAAGACTCAACTGGCAAAGCAAGCTTTAAAGATGGCAGGAGACATGAGCCAAGGAACCCAGGCAGCTTCTAGAAGCTTTAAAATAAAGTAACATCTCCCCTAGAGCCTCCCCTAGAAGCGAGGTGGTAGGCAGGAGCCAGACCTTCAAACCAAGTTTTCCCATGGGAATCAGGCCTAGAAAATGCATACAGACTGTTATGGCTTGCTCTTGCTAAAACTCCATCACCCTGGTCTAAAACAACAAATGTATATTGTCTATCTTCAAGGTAATTTCCAAAGCCTGTACGAGTTCTCCCAAGGACAGAGCTAATGAGCTCATCGCCATTCCCCTCTGCATGTTATTTTCATTTCCTTGATTGTACCTAAAATGTAGACAATAATATTCTATGTAATAGATAATAAATCTTTCTCTGATATAAGACCCAAAGAAAACAATAAAAGCCTGTCTAGGCAAGGGTCGGGGCGCTCCCCTCTTGAGAGAGTGGCCGAGGCACCATAGGCACTCTCCCCTTTAGAGAGTAGTCGTGCCTGTTCCCTTTTTCCACACAGGATTGTTGTCACCTGTGCATTCATTCTCGTCGTCAGCCACAATAGGCAGATTCTGGTGGCCAAAGTCCGCCACAGGGGAGGACAGGAAAAGACAGGGTAAACAGGTTCAACATTCTCTATCCGGGCAATAATGTACCACGGTTGAAAAGAGTTTCTGAAATTCTTTAATCCAGACTTCCCACTTTGTCCTATGACCAAGGTTTTCCAGCACCAGAAATAAGACTCTAAAAGAGATGTTAACATCAGTTATGAAATTTAAAAACCTCCCTACTCTACACAAAGACCTAAGCATAAAATACCACGTGCCTTTAAATCCCATGACAGTCCCTGAAGGCTGTACAAATCTGCCAATATCAGAAAGTTAAAATTTACAAATTACATAAGATATTTTAATTTAACACTAAATACAGGAGCTAAAAAAAAAACAGCTATAACAGAAAAGTCTACATTTTCCCTTAATTTCCCCAAGTCAGCTTCCTCATTTCTTATTATTGGCCATGTATGGTAGATCTTCACAACCATCACACCTTCTCAAAAACACTCTTTGTCACTTATGCCTCATTAATTCCTACACGTAAATTCCTTAAACTCAAAGTAGAAGCAGCAGTGGCTCCCAGTGGCCAATTTATGATTGGTGTATTTTCCTATCGCTGATCTTTGTTATTTTCACATTTGATTGCAAAAAGTGTAAGAACTTCATGGACATCACAGTATTACACAAAAATAAATTAATGAAATATTTAATTAACTTTAATCCTTGACACCAATAAGAATATTATAATGCATGCTTTTCAGACAACTGAGAGATCCTTTAAAATATAAAATACATTATGCTTTTGCATTCTTCCATGTCCCTGGGATCACTCACTGTTTATTAAACAATAGTCACTGTTGTAACAAATAGTCACATAATAAAGCACTGTCATCTATTTGTCTAATCAGATTAAGATTGTTAAAACCTGAACTAATTCCCCTAGAATATTCCACGTCGGGTATGTAAGGATGAGACTGAGGTGACATCCTAAATTCTCCACCATGACATACAGGGTGGGGAAGAGTAGGTTCACAGTTGTGAGTACATGAAACACAGACTAATTTTATGTTATTAATTTTTATTGTATTATTTTCCATACAAACAACTGAAAACCTACCTTTGCCCCAATGTGCACGTGGTAGACAGAAATATAAAGATATCAGCCCCAAGTTTCTGTCCCCTGACTGGACTGATTGATAATTCAAACACTCAAGAAAGTATTTGCTGTGAAGGGACTTTGTGGATAGTTGAATAAAGCTACTAACAAATCGATCTTAAAATAAAGAATTACCTCGGACTACAGGTCTCTTCAGCTTTCACAAGTCTACTTTATGCCACTTTGTTCCTATAAAAAGACCCTACGAAAACAGAGTTCAGCACTTTTGCAGCACGCTCCAAGAGCAGAAGCGAGAGTTGCACCACCAAGCCTCTGCCCTGGGAACAACACTCAGCATCAAGCTGCCAAAGCTTTGGACCGTGTTTGTGAGCATCTGTGCTTTACCTAGACTTATTGTGTATGTCCATTGGCAAGAAGTGTCTTGAGATACACAATCGCTTTCCAAAGGTTTCACAGGAATACTCTTTTTGGGGAGGAGGGCAGGTAATCCACTTTGGCCCAATGTAATCAAATGAGCCCTTAGCAGCAGCTGGCAGAAAAGTCAAGCCAGTGATTCAACAAGAGAGGTCAGAGAGATCCAAAGCATACAAAAGAACTAATCTGCCACTGACTGCCTTTAAAGATGGAAGGGGAGCCACAAGCTAAGGAATGAGAGCAGGCTCTAAAAGCTGAGAACAACCTCCAGGCAACAGCCAGCAAAAAAACAGGGACCTACAACCACATGGAACTGAACTCAGTCAACACCCTGAATGATTTGGTAGCAGTTCATCCCCAAAGCTTCCAGAAAGGAACATCAGCCCTGCTGACCCCCAAGCTCTAAAGAAAGAACCAAGCTGTGACCAGACATCTGACCTATAGAAACATAATAATAAATGTGTGTTGTTTTAAGCCACTAAAGTTTGTGGTAATTTCCTATGGCAGCAACTTAAAAGTAGTATAGATTTTGGTGTAAGTGGGGTGCTGCTGTAACAAATAATTGAAAATGCAGAACTGGCTTCAGAACCGAGTAGTGAGTGGGGGCTGAAAGAAATGAGAGGAGCATGCCCTGGCTAGTGTGGCTCAGTGGACTGAGCACCAGCCTACGAACCAAAAGGCCTCCAGTGTGATCCCCAATCAGGGCACTGGCCTGGATTGCAGGCCAGGTCCCTGGCTAAGGGCATGCGAGAGGCAACCAACTGGTGTTTCTCTCGCACGACAATGTTTCCTTCCCTCTCTTTCTCCACCCCTTCCCCCCTTTCTGAAAATAAATAAATAAAACCTTTAAAAAATTAGAGGAGCATGACAGAAAAAGCCTAAATAGCTTGAACAAACTGGAAGTAGGAATGTAGACGTTAAAGACAATGCCAGGGAGGATTCACACACAGGCTGCTTGAAGAACTCTGGATCTGGAGGATGAAAAGATCTACCTTGTCATTGGATACTGGTTTTGTTAGACATTCTGACAATCTCCACCTTTTACTGGAGTGGTTAGTACATTTTGTTTTATACCGTTGATTTTGGTTCATTTTAAATCTACTATCTCGCTATCGTTTCTTCTGTTTCGCCTTTTCGTTGTTACTTCCCTTTCCCTACTTTCTGTCTGAGCCCCACCATCCCTCACGCGGCTTTGTGCCGGGCCTCCTACCTGGCCTCCTTGCTTCCACCCCTGCCCCCAAGTCTCTTCTCCCCACAGCAACAACCTCATTCTGTCTGTTTTCCACCTGTTCCGGGTAAAAGCCAGTTGTTACAATGACCTACAAGGCCCTGTGAGACAGGCCCCCATTACCCCTCAGGCCTCATTTTCTACTGTCCCTCCCCTCGCTGACTCCATTTCATACTCGCCTCCTTACTCTTTTTTGAACACCCTAGACATACTTCCACCTCAGGGCCTTCCTAACTGCTATTTCCTGTGTCACACTTTCACTACCTCCCTTCCTTAGTTCAGGTTTTTGACCAAGTATTACTTTCCCCCTAACTATCCATAGTAAGCAGAACAATGCCCCTGCCCCAAATGTCCACATCATTATCCATGGAACCTAGGAATGTATTACATTACGTGGCAAAGAAGAATTAGGTTGCAGACAAGATTAAGGCTCCTAAATGGGGAGATTATCCTTGATTATCCAGACGGGCTCAATGTATTCACAATGATCCTCGAAAAAGAGAAGACATTACAGAAGAAGGATCGGAGAGATGCAAAGTTGCTGGCTTTGGAGGAGGAGAAAGGGGACCACAAGCAGAGAAACATGGGCAGCCTCCAAGATGGGAAAGTCAAGAAAGCAGTCTCTCCCCTAGAGCCTCCATCAATTAACACAGCCTTATGAACGCCGTAACTTCAGCCACTCAGACCCGTTTCAGACCTCCCACCTCCAGGAGTGTAAAACAATATATGTGTCTTATTTAAACCACTTTTAAGTTTGTGGTGATTTTTTTATAGCAATAATAAAAAATTAATTCACCACCCTATTAAAAACTGAAAGACCTCACCCCCAATACTCCTTTACTGATTAATTTTCCTCCATAAAATAGATTACCTTCTAACAAATGTTATAATTTCCTTACTTTATTTATACATGTAAATTCTGTAAATAAATGTAAGCTCCATAAAGGCAAGGGTTATCTATTTTGTTCAGTTTCTCAGAGTCTGATACATGATCATGTGCTCAATTACTGCCTGACTGAACATCTGATAGATTATAAATATATGAATATGTAAGAAAAGTGCTGCTAATGATGATGCTGATGTGATAAAAATACCATTAATCTTAAAAAAAAACTAGGTATAATGAGCAGCTGTTTAAAGCCAATGACAGATTTATAGCTATGCATTAATGTCTCTCAAAACACCTGTTATTATTCACTCTGTATTCCTCTTCTTCCCAACTGCAACAGCTTTTTTATTACAGTTTTTAATAATGTAGAAGATACTATTAGGTACATATTTTTCAATTATCAATCTTTTGAACAGAATTCACATCTTATACTTAAATTCAGAAAATAATAAATATACAAAGTGTTTCCTTTCTAAAATTACTTATATTTGAACAAGTCTCCAAGTGTGAAATATAAAAGAAAACAATCTGGTAAGTATTAACAAAGGTTTTATATCACCTTCATTCAAAAAGCAGAGAGCAGTCTCTGGTGTTAAAGGGCACTGCTTACCTGTCCCAGGAGTCGTTGTCATAACTCCAATTAAAGGACTCTGCATTACTGACATGTTTGGCTGCATAAAAACAGAAGAAAGTGTTAAGGTAAAAACGTAAAGTTCTAACCATAACATATACACAGTAAGTGTTGAAAGGCTTCATTGAAGAGACAACTGAGTATTTACCCAGTACTGAAGATGCCTATAATTAGCTCACAATCAAAGGGTATTCCCTAACTTTTTTTTTTAAGTTGAGTGGTAGTAATCTAAAATATGCTAGACCCTTATTACAGTATTTGTTTAAAATAAATAAAATCACATTAGGTAAAAAAGCATTATTTTTAGTAGAAAGTAACACTGCTGTTTGGTTCTAGTTCCTAAGGTACAGAAGTAACACACATAATGGTGATACTTCAAATCACCAAGCTCACACAGAAAAACAAAAAGATGGCAGAATTTTATTTTTGAATAAATTCTTACAAACTACGAAATACTACAGTTTCAAATCAGTGTACACAAGACAGGATACCTCTGCCTCTATTGGTAGAAAGTTATAAAGAAGAAAAATGATCAATACCAGTTCCTTTAAATATGGGAAAATTAAAGATTAAAGTTGTTAAAAGTCCTTCTATAGACCTGGCTGGTGTGGCTCAGTGGACTGAGTGCTGGCCTAGGAACCAAAGGGTTGCAGGTTCAATTCCCAGTCTAGGACGCATGCCTGAGTTGCAGGCCAGGTCCCCAGTTGGGAGAGCACAAGAGGCAAACATACATTGATGTTTCTCTCCCTTTCTTTCTCCCTCTCTTCCCTTCTCTGAAAATAAATAAATAAAAACTTCTAAAAAAAAGTCCTTCTGCCCCGACTGGTGTGGCTCAGTGGATTGAGCACTGACCTGTGAACCAATGGGTCCCTGCTGGTTCAATTCCCAGTCAGGGCACACGCCTGGGTTGTGGGCCAGGTTCCCCGGTGTGGGTCATGCGAGAGGCAACCAAACATTGATGTTTCTTTCCCTCTGTTTCTCCTTCCCTTCCCCTCTGTCCAAAAATAAATAAATAAAATATTTTAAGTCCTTCCATAAACAAAGATAGAAATATCAAATCAAGAATGATGAATCTCTAAAAATATATATAAAAAATTTTTTTAAACAGTATATGATTAAACTAAGGAAATCTAAAATTTGGCTATTATCTAGCAACCAGAACCAAATGCAGAGAATGTTAGGGGAGATACAAAATGTACTGTTCAATTCTTAACACCAGCTTCTTTTGTAATTAGAGAGAGGTTGAGCAAAGTCTCAGGGAGCAGAACAAATTTAGGTTTTGATCTAATAATATTCTTACCAACCTTCAGTGAAAAACATTTTCTACAAACTATTACACTTAAGGCCCTTAAACATTTTGAACATGGCAATTACTATAACTACCTTTCTTCTCATGTAATATCAGAGAGGTAATGAAAATATAAATTTGTAAGCCAGTAGTTCTCATACCAAAGTAAACATCATATTTACTTACCAACCTTCAGAAAAATAACCCAAAACAGAATATTCTGGATTTTTTAAGTCTAGAATACCACTGTCCAAATACTAACACAAGCCATGCAAGCAATTTTAAACTTTATAGTAGACAAGTATATCTCAAGTATAGGGCTAGCCACATTTTAAGTGTCAAGAGCCACACTTGGCTAATGGCTACTATAATCGACAGGTGGGCAGGTCCAGAAGTGCTGGAGAGAGAAGGTAATCTGTTTAACACAATGAATTAATTTTGTTTTGCTTGAAACGTAGCCTCATATGCCAGGAATATAAAACCTATAGTCAAAATTTACTTAAGTATGCATTTTATTAAACTTTCCAACAACTATAATATATCTGATTCAGGGAAAGTCATAAAACATTTCTCCAAACTAAACAGCAGAAATATCTTTATACAAAGGGATATATCAGTTAAATGACACACTTTGTTTATATATCCTACTAAGCACAATAATGACAGGAAAGAACACATGACTATAAAAGCTACTAAACTTCCCACTTAAAAGAAAAATCCATACCACCCTTGAAGTGCCAACAAGAGTAGTATTAGCACAGTATGCTATCATAAATACTGGCTCGAGATTTAAGGCCGCCTAGGTTGAAAGCCTGGCTCTGCAAAACTAGCTGCCTTACCCCTGACAAATTACTAAAACTGTAACATCAGGGCCTGTGCATCAGAAGTACTTCCTAAGTATCGGACACTCTCCTGTAACAACGAGTCCCATCAAAACAGAGACGTCTACCTTGCACAATCTACGACTGAATATAACGCCATGGGAACACCTACACCTACACCAACCAAAGCTTAACATCACCATCAGAACGCTACATGAGGAACATACTAAACTACTGATTTTCAACTTTTTTTATCCCATGGCACACATAAACTAATTACCAAAATTCTGCACCACACCAAAAAATGTATTTTTGGGAACGTGACAAAAAATGGGTAAAATTTTGATTGATTTACAAAAAAATCGTAACAATAGTAATTACCCACCTTTTTGCTCCAAAGTGACTTTTCAAAAAAATCAGGTGCCTATACTTGTCTATAAGGATTTCTGGTATCAAGAATTAACCAATCAGACAGAACCTTAATATGCACCATGACCAAAAATATGCAACTCTATTATATGATCTCTATATTTATGGTTTAAGGAAGGGCACTGAAGGCATTCACACCAAATGGTTATTGTTGTGTTGGCTGCTGTCATTTTTTTTTATTTGACAATCTAAGGGAAAGGAGATCAGTGCCCTGACTAAATAGTCAGGTATTGCACATCTTAAAAATTCTTCCAGCACCCTAGTGTGCCACGACACAACAGTTAAAAATTGCTATGCTAAAGCATCAGCTCAGAACTATGCGGGAGACAGTGTTTTTAGTAAAATAAGCAAATAATAAACATAGTTCTAAAAGGATAATGGTTGTATATTATATTAATAAAATAATTCCTAAAACAAAGATCCGAAATCATTACGAAGTGCCCTAAATCTGGATAAAACCCTGAATCTTCATTTGTTCTTTCACAGAATTATGTATAAATAAACACTGAGCTTTTTAAAGAACTGAAATGACTTAAACCATAAGCATTTCCACATGTATCTGAAGTACGTTGAGGGTTTGGACAGGTGACTACAACATAGCTATTAAAACCACAGAAGTACCTACATGAGAAAATAATCTGTAGTGATGTAATTTTTTTGAAATGCCTTTTTAAAAAGATTTTATTTATTTATTTTTAGAGATAGAGGAAGGGAGAAAGAGAGAGAGAAACCCTCATGTGTGAGAGAAACATTGATTGGTGCCTCTCGCATGTCCCCAACTGGGATGGAGGGGCAGTGGGGTTGGGTGGGCCTGGCTGGCAGCCCAGGTATGTGCCCTGACCAGACACTGAGTCAGCTACCTTTCAGTTTATGGGGCAATGCCCAACCCACTGAACCATGCCAGTCAGGGCTGTTGTTTTATTACATTTTAAAGTATATTTCATGATAAGCATAATTTAAGTAGATTCTATGATAAATGTCCTTAATGCTTATTCTGTGCAACAAAGTTATACTACAACAGACCTCGGGGAAACATTTCAAATTACTGACTCTCACTGCATAGCCACATAAAAACCTTAAAATTACTCATTGTGGATCATGAGTGAGGGCGTGTGTATTACCTGTCTTCTTGAAGTTAAAGGTGTTGATCCAAGTCCTGGGCTGGAAATGTCATCATATATACTTCTAACTGGTGGAGCCCCACTTTTATCTTTATGAGCTGGTACGACCGGTTGTGGTGGTGACCCACCTACAATGTACAAAACATACTGGCAGGTGAGAAAACAAAGAAATCTTCCTTCTTTTTAATAGGATTTTTCCTAAATAATCATATTGGTGTTATTATTTAACTTAATTCTCCTGACCACAATCCTGTGTCTGGAGAATGATGTCCATTTAACAAATGAGGAAACTGAGACAGGGAGTTGCTTCAGAGAAATTGCTCCAGAGCACCTTGCTAAAAAGATTTTTTAAAAATTTATATTCTTAAAATATTGACTCAACCTCATGTCCTGGTGCTTCTAAAACTTCAATGCACATGAAAGTCACCAAAGGATCTTGTTCAAATTCAGATTCTGATTCACAACATGTAGGATGGAACCTGAGATTATGAACTTTGAACAAGCTCCCAGTGATGCCAATGCTGGTGATCCACAGACTGCACTCTGAATAAAAAGATTCCAGAGTAAGTAAATAAAAAGTTTACTTTATAGCAAACACATGTAACTTTTACTTTCTCTACAAAATGCTTAGCATTTCAACACAAAACTTAATTCTCTTTCTAATTTGAAAGTAGGTACTAAACAGCTCCAGTCCATATACACTTGAATAAATATAATCCCATAATTCGGCATTTGTCAAAATTAAACACATCCCATTGTGTTTCTCATAGTAAAAATAGATTTAAGTACATAATAAAGTTATTAAAAAACCATTTTTAGGGACATAAAGATGTGTATAAATCAGAGAATTAGCAATGCCCAAAGTGAAGCAGCCCCTGCCCTCCATAAGACAAGCATAGAGCAGACTGCAAAATGGGACTGACCTGGGCTTTGATCTCCTTCTCTTCACTTAGTAAGCTGTGCATTCTTTATTGCATTTAGCCTCAGTCTCCTCTTTTGAAAACCTGGGATAACTACTATATATTTGCTCAAGATTGAAAAAACAATAAAAATAACAAAATACTGAGTATATTTCCTGGCTCGTAAATACTCAATATGTGGTAGCTACAATAATAACATATTTGAAATTTATACAAAAATCTGTCCAGAATAATATCTTTAAGTGAATTACTTCAAATATAATTTATATTTCATCCTGACCAATTTATATATATAAAACCACTTATATATATAAAACCATTTATATATATAAAGTAAATCATAGGTTAAAAACAAAGTAAGAAGAGTTTACCTTTAAACATCTACTAAAAGGATACTAGTTCAAATTTGAAATTCAACCATTTTGGCGGCTCTCACTACTCACAGTCAAAACTTCAGTTATCTTTTAAAATGTGTCTTTGCTAAAGACATCCTGTAAAAGATTTATGTTGTATTTAAGTAACATTTTGTGCTGAGGACTGCACAGCCTATGTAAAAAACTTCCCCACAGTCTGTGAAGTCCTTTCACTGAACATACTACAAGTGAGAACCTTAATTAACTCTGCCTAGAGGTAGAATCCATATTGACAAATTTTCAAATTACACTTCTTTTGACTGACTGTGTGCTATTATTATATTTAAGATGAATTAAACTCAGTTGAAATTAAATGACCATATCGCTTCCCCCCACACACTGGCATTTTACACTGGATGAAATGTAATATGCATACTTTTCCATAAGTGGTTCTTAGAATGATAATACAGTAGTACCCTCCTCATCTGAGATTTTGATAACTGCAATTTCAGTCACCTGTAGTCTGAAAATATTAAATGGAAAACTCTAAAACTAAGGAATTCATAAGTTTTAAATTGCAGCCTCAGCAGTATAAAATCTCACATCATCCAGGCTGGAACATGAATCATCCCTTTGTCCACTGTGTCCAAGTTGTACACGCAGTACAGTAAGATATTTTAAGAAAGATGCCACACTCACATAACTGTATCATAATATATTATAATTATTATATTTTATTATGTTAATGTCAATCTCTTATTGTACCCAATTTAAAAACTTTATCACTGGTATGTATGCATAGGAAAAAACACAGTGTATATACAAAGCTTGAGATTATCAGTAGTTTTGGGCATCCACTGGGGTCTTGGAACTTCTCCTCTGCTGATAAAAGTGGGGACTGCTGTAGTTTATACTGCTTACAGCTCTATTCTACGAGTCTTATGGTAAAAAAAAATAGAGCCATTACTTAATTTTTTTAATCACCATATTTTGCTGTGTACAATACACACCTGTGTTTCTGGCCCAAACTTTAAGGGAAAAAAATCTTTTGTTTTAATTTTGTAATTCAAGTTTTATTTAGTTACATTTAGAAACAAAACCAATTATTGTATTCTAGTGTATTATTTTGTATAGGGATATCGTTATTGCTTTCTAGAGTTATATCTTTAATATATAATTATAAATAAAGGAATTATAAACAATTATATAGCTACAGAATTAGTACTACCCATGTATAATGCTCATCCTTATTTTTACCTCAAAAGTTTAGGCAAAAAAGTGTGCATTACACATGGCAACATACAGTGATGAATGGGTTGGGAAGAGTGAATACTGGACTATTACTCTTTTTTAAATTCTAGTATATATACTGACATTACTATGAAACTATTTTAGGCAATTTACCTACCTGCAAGTAAAGGTGATCTCATTTCCATTACTCCTACTGAAGGGCCACTAATTGATCGAGGTTGTGGAGTCACTGGAGCCGGTAAATCCCCCATTAAAAATCCAGGTAAGAACTGGGCATTAACCCCTGGTTTTGGAGATGTGGGAGAACCTAGCATCATTGGTTCAGATCCTAAATGAATCAGAAATAAAATAAGGACTTTAATTTTATAACATCTAACAAAATGATTTAAGAATCTAGAATACTTTTGAAAATGTAATCAATTCCGTTAAATACTATAGAACCATCGTTAAATTTTTATTTTAGAAATGAATAAAAATTATTTCTAGAGAAACAAGTATTTTACATTAACGATATTAGTCCCTGACAACTATTCTGTTAACATTTCACAGGTTTAAGAATCAACACATTTTTAAATTTAAGAATTTTAGTTTATAATATTATAAAAATCCCTGATACATACAGAAAAATTTTCTATTTCTGGTCAGCTATTCAACAACCAAAAACAAGAACAGGGCACACGAGTTACTTATTTACACAAAGCTTGAACATATCAAACACAATGAGTTTAGCTTGCTATATGTCCCATTTTTTTCCTCACAAAAAACTATAAATCATGTTTGTCATAAAAGTGTAATCATGCACACATTACAGCACATACAAAATAATAGTAATGAGTGGCAAAAAACATTTAAAATGTTTGGAAAGTTTATTGTTTGGATCTTTTTTTAAATTACTCATTTTAAAATTAGGACTCAATAAGTCTCCCTGATATAAAACCAATTTAAAAAAAGAACAGATACTTCACAATCATCAATTCAAAATTAATCTTCACAATTTACTGGAGAGGTTTATTGTTATCATGAAGATAAGGAAGCTGTAACTTAGACTCTAATTTCAGGGCATAAATAGCACAGTAAGAAAAACATGGGCTCTGAAGTGAGAGACCTAGGTTCAAGTCTCTCAGCAAAATGGGAATAATTGTATCACCCATTCAGAGAGCTTTGATTAGAATTATAGCAAGTAAAGCACTTGACCCAGTGCCTAAGATGCAGTAAATGTTCAGCAAGCATTCGTTATTAGTATAACAGTATCTTATAATAGCCAAAACTGAGAGACAAACGTGTAAGTGAAGAATCTGCAATTTTTGATTATGAAAATTTAATTTTTAACAATGTGACTAGCCTAAATGTGATCCATGGAATGCAGTTAATAAAGATCATATAAATAACATAAGATGATGTTGATGTTTCTGTCAATTTCTAAACAGTTTCAAAAATTTGTTTCCTGCCCTGGCTGGTGTAGCTCAGTGGATTGAGCGTGGGCCTGCGAACCAGACAATCGCTGTTCGATTTCCAGTCAGGGCACATGCCTGGGTTGCAGACCAGTTCCCTGCAGGCCAGTTCCCAACAGGGGACGCCCGAAAGGCAACCATACATTGATGTTTCTCTCCCTCTCTCCTTCCCTTCCCCTCTAAAAATAAAAAATAAAAATAAAAAAAAAATTGTTTCCTACTCTCCAAATGCTGTCAGTCATTTATGCTTCCTCTTATACCTTGTTATAGTTATACTTAAATATTAACAATGCAAGTGTATAAAAGAAGGCAAAGCAATTCAGGAAAAAGATAAAGCAAATACTGAAATAAGGAAGAACTATAATTACATTGTAATTAAAGTGATAGTTACTACGCTACTATGAAACCATTACATATTTCCCAAGAACAAACACTGAAATCAATCAACCCAAAAGCATTTTCTGAACAGATATTAAAAACCCACACTAATAAATAAAAAGTTTTAGGAACCACCAACTGCCTTCATTCTCCCATCCCCCAAAAGGAAAAAATATAGCAATTGTAAAAATTAAGTCAAAAGAAGTTCTTATATATCTGGATATATACTGTAATACAGTAGAAAGCACCAGAGGGAGCACACAAAAACCTCTATCGAATTGTCACTAACCACCCATCAGGCTAAATTTCACTTAAGAAGAGAGCTGTATGTCACTGTACCAATGGATCCTGCAACTCAATTCCCTATCACAGTCTGTATTGCTAAAGTACTGTGTCTTCTTACCCAGCACTGGTTGTTGGAGTAATACCTACTTTTAATATACCATTAGGTGCTGGGAAATGTTTATTCCTCACCTAGAATATCTGCAATATGTGGACTTAAAAATTTAATATCAGCTAATGTCAGATTTCTGATTAGGCAATAAACAGAGGTTTATACACATTTGTAACCCCAAGAAATATGCACTCCAATTTTTTTTTGGTAGAAAACTGAGCTCTAAAATAATACCTAGACCAGTATCTGTACGTAAATTTAAATGTAGCAGAGTATCTGCACTGTCATTATGCATTTAGTTTATGACTAATACTCAAACAGTTCACATTGCTCTACTCTCCGAAGAAAGTTTGCACAAAACATGTAAAGTGTTACTCTTCCGATCTTCAAAAAGAAGGAAAAAAAAAACTCATCCCACACATAAGTAATCATGCTCACTCTGTTTTCCAAACTTAGAATGTTGTAACCTAATTTCCAACTAAGTCTCTTATAGTAGACGGTTTATTTTAAAATTTTGACAGATCTCAGAAATCCCCAAACTCAGCAGACAAAAAGGTAATCCTGTTATTTTTTTGGATTTTTTTCAAAGTCACAATTCAGCAATGGGAATAAACTTTTAAGTATTCAATATATGACTGACTTCAGAAATAACTACAATACTTGGTCGGTCACCTTCCCAAGATTAAGGTAAGGAGTAACGTGCGAACTCCTAGCTTCCTATTAAGGCCAATATCTAGATGGCTTTCATCATCTGTCTAATTAATTGTCGCACAATGCAAGGTTCCATTAATTACTGATTCCTCTGCCAAAGGCCAGAAGAGGGAAAGAATCAAACAGGAACCAGAAGCCCAGGTTACCCAACGGCGGCGGTCTGCGACCACTCTCCGGGGCAACGCCCACCCACGTGTAAGCCGCCAGGTCCCTTCCCGACTATTATCCTGGATCCTGACACCCGGATCCAGTTTGGAGCTCAGGAGGTATATCAGGTATCCGCAGGTTTGGCCGGCTCGCGTCTGGGGGCACAAAACGGCGCAGCCCACGTTCGACCTTTTCCTCACCGGTTCCTCACCGGTGGCCGCAGCTTCCCCGAGCCGCCCGGGCAGCCTGATGACTAGAGCAGGAGCCCCCTGCTAGGAACGTGGAGCGATCAAAGGACTACCTCTGCGCCAGTGAAATTAGCAAACGAGAGTCAGGACTCCTGGTCTCGTCGGTTTTGCCCGCCTGCAGGCCTACGGCACCGATCGCAGTGCCAGCGAGGAAAAGCAGTTTTTCACTCACCCAACGAGGGCACCTGGGGTTCCACAGCAAAGGCTGCCATCGCGGCGGCAACTATATTTCGCCGAGAACCCTCCCGATTTTCAAAAATGGCGGAAACACTCCCCAGGGGTCGGGGAGCGGTAACCTAAGGGTTGACGTAACTTCCGGATATGCGCCGCACGGAGCTGTGGGCGCCGGAGCCGCCATTTTGGAGTGGGTAAAAGCCTTCGCGCAGTCTCAGCGTCTTCCGGGAAGACTTGAGGTGTCTGTGATGAAATTGTATTTCTCCAAATCCTGTGCTCACGGTGTGAACGTCCTGAGTATTTTGGTACTTGAATTTCACAGAAGTACTGTTTATTATATTCAGAGTTTCATTAGCTACCGTGCGTGTACCCAGTGCTTTGTCATCCGTCAGCTTTCCCAAGCACCAGCTGCAGAAAGTCGGCTTGGAGCAACTGTTGGGGCTGCTTTCCAGTGTCGATTTACGGGCTTGGTGCGTAAAGCTCCATTCTTGTTGCATTTTCTGACATCTGTACCATTTTTTTAAAAATGTGTTATAGGGGGACAATTTTACATTAAAGCATAATTCATGCTTGCTGCTTTTTACATGTCAATACGTACCAAAGATAGCGAATAATGGAAGCTAAGAGTAAACAAACACTTGTCAACCCACCACATTGCAGCACCCTCTTTGTATCATCTGGACTGTCCGCCCCCTTTCGGCTTTTCTTTAGAGCTTATTCAAATATAGCCTATATATGCGTGCAAAAAAAGTTCTTTAGTTTTGCTCCCTAACTTTAAAAGTGGTGTGCTACATTTATATATATTCTAGGATATTTTCTGATCCATACCAAGTTAATTATCCTCAGAATACTCACCCATCCTTCCTATTTGCTCTGGAATTTCCTGAAATTCCAAATCCAAGAAGAATTTTGTAATTTGAGTGAGATCATTACAATGACGTAATTAAATGGAATGTCCCTTGAGATCAAAATTTTAAATCACCGAGATAAATTGACTCTTTTTTACAGGTGTATGGGTTGAACAGTGTCCCCCAAAATATGTTTAAGTCCTAACCCTCGGTACATTTGACTGTGACCTTATTTGGAAATAGGTACTTGACAGATGTAATCAAGTTCAGATGAGGTCAAGTTCAGACTGAATTACCTCAAAGCTGGAGGGTTAAATGAGAACACAGATCTGTCTTTCATAATTCTGGACACCAGCAATCTGAGTTTTATGGGGCTAATATCAAGGTGTCAGGAAGACTGGTTTCTTCTGGAGACTCTAGGAGAGAATCTGTTTCCTTCCTGTTTGAACTTCTAAGACTAAATTATATTCCTCAGCTTAAAGGCTCCACCCTCTCCCTTCAATGCCAGCTGCATGACACCTTCTGCCTCTCTGACCCTGCCTCTCTTTCTGTTATCACATGGCCATCGATGAGTCTACCTCTGTTTTGCCTCTTAGTTCAGTTTGTTCATTAGACTCCATGTGAGTGAGATCATATGGTATTTGTCTTTCTATGACTGGCTTATTTCACTCAGCATAATGTTCTCCAGGACCACCCACACTGTCACAAAGGGTAAAATTTTCTTATTATTTTTACTTTTTTTACTGCTGAGTAGTACTCCATTGTGTAAATGTCCCACAGTTGTTTTATCCACTCATCAACTAATGGACACCTGGACTGCTTCCAAATCTTGGCGATTGTAAATAATGTTTCAATGAACATACGGGTGCATATAGTCTTTCGAGTTGGTGTCTCGGGTTTCTTCGGATAAATTGCCAGAAATACAATTGCTGGGTCATAAGGCAGTTCCATTTTTAAATTTTTTGAGGTAACTTTGTACTGCTTTCCACAATGGCTATACCAGTCTTCATTCCCACCAATAGTGCAAAAGTTCCCCTTTCTCCACATCCTCTCCAGCACTTGTTATTTATTGATGACAGTCATTCTGAACCATGTGAGATGATACTTCATTGTGGTTTTAATTTGCATTTCTCTGATTAGTGACATTGGGCATCTTTCCATATGTCTTTGGGTCCACTGTGTGTCCTCTTTGGAAAAGTGTCTATTCAGGTCCTTTGCCCATTTTTTAATTGGATTGTTTAGGGGGTTTTGGTGTTGAGTTTTGTAAGTTCTTTATAAATTTTTGGTAGTAACCTGTTATCAGATCTATCATTGAATATGTCTGCCTTTTCAGTAGGTTGCCTTTTCATTTGTTGATGTTTTCCTTTGCTGTGCAAAAACTTTTTAGTTTGATGTAGCCCCATTTGTTTTATTTTTTCTTTTATTTCCCTTGCCTTGGGAGATACATCAAAAAAACACGTTGCTACAAGAAATGTCTGAGATTTTACTGCATATGTTTTCTTGTAGGATCCTTATGGTTTCAAGTGTAACATTTAAATCTTTAATCCACTTTGAGTTTATTCTTGTGTGTGGCATAAGAAGTTAGCTTCATTTTTTTGCACATACCTGTCCAATTTGCCCAACACCATTTATTGAATAAACTATCTTTAGTCCTTTGTATGTTTTGGCCTCCTTTATTAAATATTAATTGATTATAAAAGTGTGGCTTATTTCTGAGCTATTTCATTCTATTGATCTATATGTCTGTCTTTATGCCAGTACCATGCTATTTTGATTACTATGGCCTGGTAGTGCAGTTTGATATTTGGACAGAAAAATTAAAGTCATTTGCCTTCCTTCACTTGCATTTCAAATTTATACCATTTCAACTGACACTTTCCTTGTCAGGGTATAAAGATGTCCATTTTATCCTATCAAAAAACCTTCCCTAGAACTGTATCTTTTTGTGACTGCCTTGAACTTTTTTTTTTCACATTTTTTTTCAAGATTTCAAAATAAGGGTCTACAGACTTTAGTACATGGTCTATTTCCCTAACTTTACCATCTTATTTTTTAAAACATTATACACTGACTCTTGTGTAAATCCTTTTTTGAAACTATTGACCCCAACTATTTTTCTCCTAACTGCCATATGGGGCCTAACTGCCATGTTTGACATCTGTGGTATTCAATAGCTTTAACAGTCTTTTCCTATATACAATTGTTTTCATTGTTTTTGGTGATACTACACTTCCTACTCTCTTCTTAACTTTCTGCTCTTTCTCTGGCTCTTCCATACATGATCCCATTTCATTCTAACCTGGATATAGAATTATTTGTGTGTGTGTGTGTGTGCTATGCTCATATTTTTTATCATTTTTCAAATTTGTTGTTCAAATACAATTGTCTCCATTTTCCCACCACCACTTCCCTCCCACCTCCACCCACCCTCACCTCCCACTCTCCATCCTTCCCCCTTTGTCTTTGTCCATGGCTTCCTTCTTTCCTCGTTATCTCCCTCCCTCCTCCCCCCCTGGTTACTGTCAGTTTGTTCTTTATTCCCATGTCTCTGGTTATATTTTGCTTGCTTGTTTGTTTTGTTGATTAGCTTTCACTTATAAGTGAGATCATATGGTATCTGTCTTTCACCACCCAGCTTACTTCATTTAGCACAATGCTCTCCAGGTCCATCCATGCTGTCACAAAGGGTAGGAGCTTCTTCTTTCTTTCTGCTGGGTAATGTTCCACTGTGTAAGTGTGCCACAGTTTTTTGATCCATTCATTTACTGATGGGCACTTAGGCTGATTCCAGCACTTGGTTGGCCATTGTAAATTGTGCTGCTATGAACATTGGGGTACATAGGTTCTTTTGGTGTTTCAGGATTCTTAGGGTATAATCCCAACAATGGAATTGCTAGGTCAAAAGGCAGTCCCATTTTTAGTTTTCTGAGGAAATTCCATACTGTTTTCCACAGTGGGTGCACCAGTCTGCATTCACACCAACAGTGCACTAGAGTTCCCTTTTCTCCACAACCTCACCAGCACTTGCTATTTGTTGATTGGTTAATGATGGCCATTCTGACCAATGTGAAGTGGTATTGCACTGTGGTTTTAATTTGCATCTCTCTGATGACTAGTGATGCTGAGCATTCTTTCTTATGACTCTGAGCCCTCTGTGTGTCCTCTTTGGAGACGTGTCTGTACAGGTCCTTTGCACATTTTTTAACTGATTTGTTTGTCTTCCTGTTGTGGAGTCATGTGAGTTCTTTATATATTTTGGGAATTAAACCCTTGTCCCAAGTATCATTTGCAAATATATTTTCCCCTGTGGTTGGTCCCCCTTTCATTTAGCCTATATTTTCTTTAGCGGTGTGGACAAAGAATTGTTTTTTTGTTGTTTTTTTAAATATTTTGTTTATTTATTTATCTTTAGAGAGGAAGGAGAGAGGGAGAGAAACATCAATGTATGGTTGCCTTTCGTGCATCCCCTGCAGGGAACTGGCCTGCAGGGAACCAGCCTGCAACCCAGGCATGTGCCCTGACTGGGAATTGAACCGCGGTCCTCTGGTTCGCAGGCCCGCGCTCAATCCACTGAGCTACACCAGCCAGGGCAAGAATTGTTAATGTAGCCTTTATACTCTCTCTCCTCCTCAATTTTTTATGTTCTCAACAACTATAAAGAACACATGGACAAAAACAAGGGGGGTTGGAAACAGGGGAGAAAGGTGGGGATGGCTGGGGTGGTGGGAAGAGGTGGGGGGAAGGCAGAAAACTACTTGAACAACACTAAAAATCAAAAGCATTTAATAAAAAATAAAATAAAATAAAATAAAAAGCTCTGAAAAATTTAAAAAACAAGTTTTTATGTTATCCCCAAGGGGGATAACATCCATTGTTATATCCATGCAAGTAATTTCTGTTATTGTATGCCCCTTCTCTCTCTAAAGCCACATGATACTTTTCCAAATGGTTGATGAACAACCTACCAGTGCATCAACCCTAGAAAACTAATCTTACCCCTAAAATCTGCCCCATTCCAGTTGTCCCTTTCCTATTATTCTTTAGATACCCAAAATTTAAATTTTATTATGTTACATTTTAACATAATTTTGGTGCAGTATGTTAGAGCACAATTTAAGGTCAAATAGACCTGAATTTAGAGCACAATTTTCCCACTTAAATCCTGTATTACTTGGATTGGTATTAAATCTCTGTAAACTTTATTTTGTGTGAAATAGAAACAATACCCACCTAGAAAGGTGGTTATGCTTTGTAGAGTGTCTGGTCCACTGTGCTTTTCCTGGCTTCCACCTTCTCTACCATCAAACATTCAGATACCAAGTCCGATTCTCTATTGTTTTGATGCCTAGACAATTGCAGTCGACTCCAGCATCTCCCTTTGTTGTCAGTCCCTCTTACCAAATCTCAAACACCACTAGCCAATACTCCCTTCTCTGCACACATTACCCAGTTGTCCAAAACATCCCAGGCTCCCTGTTCCCTGCAGCAGCCTCCTTTTCTTCAGTTCTACAAGATTCACATGCACAGCACATTCCAACCAATAACACCCCTCACTACACCACATACATTTTTTAATATTTGTTTTCAGTTATAGTTGACATACAATGTTATATCAGTTTCAGTTGTACAACATGGTGATTTGACATTTACATAACTTATGAATACACTACATACATTTTCACTTAGCAGCAAGGGAAAGGGAAAATCCGAATCTCTCAGGGTGGAAGGTTGTAACAGACTGAATATTGGTGTCCCCCCAAATTCATGCTGAAATCCTAATCCCCAATTTAATAGTATTTGCAGTTGGGAATTTGGGGTTAAGTCACCAGGGTAAAACCCTCATGAATGAGATAATTGCCCTTATAAGAGACCCCAGAGCTTCCCCCCACCCCATACCCCTGCTTCAGCCATGTAAGACCACAGCAACAAGACTGGCATCTATGAACCAGGGAGCAGGCTCTCTCACCAGACACTAAATCTGTTGGTGCCTTGACCTTGGACTTCCCAGCCTTCAGAACTCTGAAAAATAAATTTCTGTTGTTTATGTCACCCAGTCTTTGTTATCCTGTTGTTAGAGCCCAAATGGACTGAGGCAGAGGGTTAGAAGGGTCATAGGGATGGGGTCCAAAAAATACACATCTATTAGTTGTTGTTTGCATTATCTGACCTCTGTAAATAATGACCAAAGCTATATCTTCATAAATTAAAATAAATGTTAGATTTGAAGACTTGTGAGTTTTCTTCCTAATCATTTCATTACAGTAAACAACTGGCAGAAAGGGAGTCCAACATCAAAGGAAACATCAGTTTAGCTGATACAGCTGTTATCTTTTAATCAATTCAATGGTTCTTATCACTCTTTGGAAGTGAAAAAGTAACATCAAAACTTATATAACTTGGCCCTGGCTGGTGTAGCTCAGTGGATTGACCACAGGCTTGAGAACCAAAGGATTGCGGTTTGATTCCTAGCCAGGGCATGTGCCTGGGTTGCAGGCCAGTTCCCAGCAGGGGATGCATGAGAAGCAACCACACATTGATGTTTCTCTCCCTCTCTCCTTCCCTTCCTGTCTAAAGATAAATAAATAAAATCTTTTTTAAAAGTGCTCTTAAAAAGACATATAACTTGCAAAGGTATGCATCTATTTTTCCCTTTGATCCTCTCTCCCTTCCTTCTAATAAGCAATTTTTGAAGGTCTGGTATGGGATATACCTGGTAGAGAAAAACCACACAGTAAAAATCTCTGCTCTCATGGGAGCTCCAGTGTTGATGAGGAAAACAACAAAATAAGTAAAATATATAGAATTTTGGTGATAATTAGGGCCATGCCACACATAAAACAAGAAAGGTGAGTATAAGTGTTCCAGATGGGAACAATTATAAATAAGGTGGTCGGGGAAGGTTTTATTAAGAAGGTAACATTTTATCAAAGTTCTGATGTTTCTGAGGGGAAGTGTCCCAGGTAAAGGGAACAGCAGGTAATGAAGTGGGGCCTTCATTATGCACTGTCAAGGAATGCATAGCCAAGACACCAGTTTGGATAAAACAGGGCGAGGGAGGGAGGAAGCAGTCCAAATGCGTAGGTCAGAGAAGTAACAATGTATGTATGTGGGAAGTGGGTGCTGAATGCCGTCTGAATAATCTCGGTGCAGTCATGGTTAGAATCTTCAGTAGTTTAATCTGAGAGTAATTCAGCATCTCCTACTGACTTAAAATTCTAGGTTGTTCTATCGAATTTTCAATGCCAATTTATCTGCAGTAATGCCCATTATAATATAACAGCTTTTCATTTCTTAAAATGCATGGAGTGAACAAATCTGTACAGACCTTAAAGTCATTTATATTGCAAAATGTATAATTTTTGTCCTGTCAAAAGATTTTGGAACGCAGAATTTGGGTGAAGAGTGAACCCAGACAGCAAATATTAAATCTTTTTAAACAAATAACCTGAAAGAAATAAAGATATTAACAGATGAAATAGTAAATTTATTATTTTATTAAAGTATATCAATACCTAGAAACAATAAAGAATACATTGTAAATATGGATACAAAACAAGTCCAGCTTCACTTGTAATTCAAATGTTTGTTAAAGTATATCAGTGGAAACGACCATAAATTTGTTAACTATAAATGCCACTGCATATATTACAAGAATATAAAACTTTAAAGTCTTCTGGTTTAAACTCTTAAATAACTACATGTGACTGAATATGCTCAGGATCCTTTGGGCAGAAAAATCAACTATTCACAGTTACCTGACAAAACTAAATAATTTGTTGTGCTACATTTGTTATTTCAGAACAAATGTAGCTTTGCTTATAAAGGTATCAATTCATTGAGTTAACTCACTGAGTAAGATTATATGACAATACTCTGATTTTTATCTGTTACTTTCAAGAATCTTTGGAGAAATTACCTTTGTGGGAAACTTGCTATATACAGTTGAACCATTTATATTACTAATAATCAGGTGACAAATTCAGAAGGTTTCCCCACCATCAGTGAAATTATCAATCAGAATGGAAATATGTACCCTAGGTTACATGATACATATTCATACTATATGAATGTTGTATATTCATACATTTTAGTCAACAGGAAAGAAGTTATGCACAAGTAAAACTGCAATGACGACTTTAAATACTACACTCCATTTTCCCTGAAATCTTTTAATACAGGGTCTAAATTTTATCCAAAAGAATCCATGAAAAAGATTTCTTCAGCTTTCAAAATTTAAATATTTTTTGGTTTTCAATACAAACTATATATCATCACAAGCCTATATTAAAACATAAAGTTAGCAAAATGTTTTAAAAATATTATCCTCAAATAAATAGAATTATATTTTCCAGTCTTTTTTCTGATCATCTTTCTCAGGTTGCTAGGAAGGCTTTATATTTTATTTCTTTTTAATGTTTAAAAACAAAAGATATTTTCAGCCCTGGCTGGCGTAGCTCAGTGGATTGAGCGCGGGCCTGCGAACCAGACAATCGCGGTTCGATTCCCAGTCAGGGCACATACCGGGGTTGCAGGCCGGTTCCCTGCAGGCCAGTTCCCAGCAGGGGATGCACAAAAGGCAACCATACGTTGATGTTTCTCTCCCTCTCTCCTTCACTTCCCCTCTAAAGATAAATAAATTAAATTTAAAAAAAAAAGATATTTTCATTTCCTCCTTTCTTTTGAAAAATTGCAGAAAAATCTATTTTAAAATCGAGGTAAAAACTCCTTGAAATATTTTCCCTCTCTCTCAAAACAGACATATATTTGGTATATATTTTTATTTATAATATGTGAGATAAAGAATAATGATAAAATTCCTTTTTATAAATAACCAGGTATGACAGAGTGACTTATATCCATGGGAAACACAATAGATATATTATATATTCATATATATGACCCAACATTGCCTTATATATCCCTAATTTAAAAGACTGGATTACATTTGTTGATGTATTTTAGATATAGCAAACTGCCATCATTTCAGATAAAATGAAATAGATGCTCAAAGCATTTCTGTAGGTGATACCTGCTTGCACCACAACCAAATAACTACAGGCACCATCTAAGCATACAAAACACAGACATAAGTAACATACTATCCATTATGAACAAATTCCATTCAAGGCTTCAAATTTAATGGCTGATAACAGCACCTACCAAAAGAAAATGCACTTAAATAAATGTTTTTACGTGACTGGAAAAGGTTCATCCTGAAAACGCTCAGCAATACTGACTATGGAGACATTATACATCAGCCTCATATTTAGGACAATTCTATCTGCCTTTGTTGGCTTCAGAAAAGTCACTGTAGGTTGATTACATTTATACTGCCCAACAGAAGCAAAGTTCATAGTGTTGCATGTGATGGCATCTTGTCAACCTGTAAGTGATCTCAAAACATAATTTGCACTGATCACTTCTACTTTTTTGCCCCTGACAGCATAAGAAAGCCTGCTTCCTCAAATACACAGATGTGCTTAATGTGCACTTTCTAACTTACATATGGGAATATACTAGATTATGTGTTTAAGAGGAACTGACTTTCTTAATATCCAAATGACAACAATACTTTCTAAGTCATAAAAAGAGTTACTTAAAAGCTATTAAATAAATCCTATCATAATTATTATATTAATTTTAAGTGCGCTTTATTTTGAATAAGTCAAAAAATACCTTTAAGCAAATTTATAGCGTTCAGCCTTGCCAATATGGAGACTTAATACTTCATTTTTATTTTTATTTATTTTATTTTTTATTATTGTTTATGCTGTTACAATTGTCCCAATTTTTCCCCCTTTCCACCCCTCTGCCTAGACCATCCCCCTGGAGACTTAATATTTTAAAAAGAAACTATTCAAGGCCTCTGGCCAGAGATGAAATTGTAAATAATTTTAGGCTTTCTAACAATATTTAAAATTCTTTATAAAACCATAACCCTTCTTTCCTTAAAAATATGTTGTCTAGTAGAATATTGAACTTAAAAACAGATCATTAAACAAATCACATCTAAAAAAATGATCGTTCAGTATAAAATATTTTTCCACAGATCCAAGAAGATCATAAAATTATGCCATGGGACCCAAAAACGGAATGCTAGGAGCCCAGGATAAAAAGCATACAGTGTTGGAGACCAGCTTCACCTAATCAAAGCACCATAAACTCATAATACTGTCAGGGAGAAAAATCTACACAAAACCCTAAAATATAAATCCAGGGAGTATAATTAAATTTAAAAAATCAAAATGAAAAGTGAATACATTTACATAAAGGACATAAAAATTCTGTGAATACTATAACCACTACATACATATTATATAAACCTTCACATTTTGGTTACCTCTTTTGGAAGGTTTAAGGTGTTGGTTTTTAATCTTAAATTATTTATAAAGAAATTTATCTCCCTCTGAAATGGTAAGTCAAGTAGCATTTCAAGTTTCTTCCTTCATGGATACAGTTGCTGGAATAGAAAAGTACCAAAAGTCTTAATTAACTGATTTAATCTTTCCATGTTCTAACATAGATTTTAAATTTAAACACTTTTTCTTGTACATAATCACTTTTTGGAATACATTGTTTTTCTCCCTTAGCAAATCAAAGCAGCATTTAATCACACATTATAATATCAAAGAAAATAATATAATTTTTAAAATTATTTATAGACTAGCTCAGGACAATCAATTGACCCCATTTTCACTTGAAAAAATCCAAGAAAAAAAGGAAGTTTTTATTACCATACTCTATAAAAAAGGGGAAAGGTGGTTATAGAGGCCAACCCAGACATTACTTGTCCGTCGTCCACTAGTGTAACTCACGACTGTTGTCCCCTTCTAACTCCTGTATTCTGTCACACTCGGTGCTTTCTTTGCCCTCTTGATACGTACGAAGCTGCTCCATGAAGCCAGAATTTGGACATATGGAAGGCCTTGCACTTTTCACCAAAGAAAAAGCGCTGGTGAATGAGATTTCTTCAGAATTCATCAGGAAGCCTATTACAATCGCAGCTGCCCTGGAGACCCCTGCATTACAGTGAACAAGAACCACTCCTTCCTGCAATAAAACCAAACAAAACTCTTCACTATTCTTTTAGGAAAGGTTATTAACTCGATGGTACATTCTTATACTCATAAAAATTATAAAATAAAAATATTCATTTTATCAATTTATTCACTTCTCAAATACAGTTCATTGTAAGGAAAAAATGGAAAAACCGATCAATCAACAAACCAATACCTCCTCTTTCCACCTCCCAAGATTGAAGTGCTTTGATGGTATATTTGTAATTCTGAAACAGTATCTTTTGTTAAACTGAAGTAATCCAGTACAGTACATAAAAGGCATAATAACTTAGCCACATATCTATAAATAAGAGAGAAATTACAGGAAATATATGTGGAACCGAGAAGAAAACCATAATCATAAACTAAACAGAAAGCCTGAGACGTTCTATGTACACATAGTGTTTCTATAAAACTAGTGTTATCAGCATGGAAATCTGGGTGTAAAATGATCAGGAGACACAAAATTCCCTTCCCTTAGATATATTCTGGACGGAAGTATCTTAAAAAAATACTTAAGCTCATCAGGTAGTAAATGATGACACAAACAGCTTTCGAAAATGTGAAGTGGAAAAAGTAATTAGACACCAGCATGAGGTCAATAAATGAATAACGTTTCAGGTAACTTGAAAATGATACATTACAAGTGAAAAGAAACACACTGTAAGACCAATGCTGATGGGGTAATATTGCATTAATAATGAATGTGATAGATCTGATGGAACACCATCGATACAGGTTGGCTTATTTCAGGCTTTTAAAAAGTTAATGATCTGAATGAAATGGAGTGAGCTGTGAGCACACACTGCAGAACTAGACAATTTAGTTACTTCATTTCCTGGTCCTTCTTTTGGTACAACACCGAAGAAAGATGGAAACAAGGCAAGGGGAAAACAACAAAACTTAGAACTAAAGACTCTCTACCCAGAGCACATATTAGCAACACTATGTTTATAGTTCATTGCATTAGTTTACTTTTGCAAGGCAGTTTTCTCAGATTCATAAATCTGTTGCAAAAATCCTTTGCCAGATCTGTTGTAACAAATTTTCAAGTGCATCTCATTTCAAAAATGCCAAATGATCCACAACAAAATTATCCTCATATCAAAAAGATAATCTCAATTGGTTTCATATATATAGAGATGTTAGGATCCCAATATAAAACATAGGCTTTACAAGTTAGGACATACCATGGGGAATTCTAATACAACTTGCCCAGAAATGTTTTACACACCTCCTTAGAGTCTCTTGGTACCACCATCTCATGCACCCTAAGCTGGCTCCCCCTCAGCCATCACTTCTATGGCCAACTGCTCCTTTTAGGCCTGTTGAGTTTTGCTTCCCTACAGAGTCCTGGCTCTTCCCAGTGGCAGTCTCTGCATAGACAGGTACATCCTGAGTTCTGGATTCTCTTGCTGCTTCTGAACTTGGATAGAAAGTCACACCACAGGGCGCTGGGTTTGGCTTCAAGGTGGCTGCTGAAGCAGTCAAGTGCTGTACCCTGGAACTGTGGGACTCCATTCCACAATTGTTGTGGAATTCTCAATTCCACAAAGTGTTGTGGGAAATAGTTTATTCCCCATGGGTAAACTTTGACCAGTGGGGAACAGGAGCCAACACACAGCCAGGCAGATAAATTCTCCGCCCTCCCTCCCAAATTCTGTATTGAGGTTTCCTTGCACTCCCTGCCCAGAGGTATTCTGGGTGGTAGGGAAGGTGCACCAGGCTATGTCACTGTCAGTTCACTGTGAAGCTGTACTCAGCAGGGTCAGCACATCACCTTATGTTGCTTCTCATCCTTCCCTGAATCACTTCCTCCCCCTCACATTCTCACTGCCTGGCAATTGCACCTCTCAAATGAAGTATCAGCTCTTAATCCTTGTCTCAGGTTCTGTTTTTCAGGAAATCCAAGCAAAGGACCATTTTAATTAACTGTAACTCTTTCCACTTTTGACCTACAACATGTACATATCTTCTAATGTTAAATATGAATATGAATGCTGTCTACACTTTACTATCTTAAGGCATATTCTACCTTTCCATAGAGAAATAGCTAATACAGGGACATTATCATTTTTATTTTTAACATTAATTACTGGGACCCTGAAATGTTACAATCTAGAACCTATTAAATTTTTCACAGAAGAAAAAATTGGCAAATATTAGGTTCTGTTTAGAAAACCTTTTCTCTCATCCAAATATCTGCTACTGAATAAAGTTGAATGGTAAAGTTGAACAGTTTTATATTCTCAGTGTAATATAGAAAAGGCACCTTGAGCAGTGCTGGGCACATGCAGCACTCAATAAATATCACTAAATAGAAGGAAGAGAGAGGAAGGAAGAAAGGGGAGGAAAAAAGGCAGAAAGGAGATCATTAGACAGAATTCAATTCAATTAAACATTCAATTCTAATGTTAACTGTCAATAATTGTTAAGTGTTCCTGGAGAGTTAACTTTTCTCTATAAGTGCTTCTCCATTCCCATCAATTTATCTCCCATAAATTTGGGAAGAATTACATGCTGATTTAAAATGATCTCATTTCAAGATATAACTGTGGGTAATGGCCAAACTAGAAGCCCAGTGTGTCAGTGTGTTGACTTGGATCCAGGACCAAAATCCCAGTATTACACTGTCAGTCTTCTAAAGTCAGAAAACCCAGTGGACAGTTTTTTATCAACATTTTCATACAATCTCAGGAAAGCAATACCCATTTAGAGCACCCTAAAATTCTATTGTTAAAAATGTACAGATTTAGCCCTGGCTGGTGTGGCTCAGTGGATTGAGTGCTGGCCTATGAACCAGAGGGTCACCAGTTCAATTGCCAGTCAGGGCACATGCCTGGCTTGTAGGCCACGTCCCTAGTAGGGGGTTAGCGAGAGGCAACTACACACTGATGTTTCTCTCACTCTCTTTCTCCCTTCCTTCCCCTCTGTCTAAAAATGAATTTAAAAAATCTTTTAAAAAGTGCACATTTTCACAATCCCTACCTCCTCAGCTGCAAAAAAAAATGCACATTAATCTTCACAAATACATTAATAGGACTACAGCAACTTCTACCTTATTAACCTCTACCACTTGATTATCTTGCAAACTGGTCAGTGGAAAAGTGGTTATAAACTATCAAAGAAAATCTAAGTATATAGGCACGGGAAAAGGAAAAAATTAATTAAAAAAATAAATATCTCATTGAGAAAAGAGCAATTAAAGAACTAAATAGTTGTAGGAATTAAAATATTGTTGGAGGGGAAATTTATTAATAGTGTTCTACATATTCATTACAAAAAGAATAAAGATCGGATAATGAACACATTTTTAAATTCCTGCTTTTGAAGAACTATGGATCAAAACAAAACTTACCTTCATTTTTGCTTGTTCAATAAATTCAAAACATTCTGGAAAATAAGACAGGATATTGGTTTCGGGCAGGTCCAGGATAGAAATGTTTTTATAAATAAAGTCACTGAGGAAGGCATTTTCAACTCCATATGCGACATTGAGAATATGAGTCACCTTAAAGAGAAAGAGATGATTTTTTAAAAATTCTCTTGAATTAGGTTAATTTAAAAAAAGGATGGGATGTTGATATCTGTAACAAGAATAAAGAGTTTAAGTATGATGCGCTCGATAGCACTTCCTCGAGAAAGCCTTATCTGACTGCCCCGTCTCTCACTAAGGTGCTACACATTCCCATATACTTGTCCTACTATGCCCCTCGCCACTTAAGACATTGTGCCCTTCACTGTATTAGAAACTCCACGAGGGCAGGGACCAGGTTTAGCTTGCTCACTATTATAAGCAAGCATCGTGAATGAGCAGTGACGTTGGCACAGAAAGTACTTAAAATATTTGTTAAATAAATCAATGAATCTCCAAGGGACTTCATATCCAAAACTTAACCAAGGGAAGTGCATCAGCTGCACAAACTTCCCTTCATAAGGAATAATTAGTTCTTCTTCGTAAGCACATGGTTCTCCAGAGTGGCTGCACATTCGAATCACCTGGTAAGCGTTTAAAAATATCAGTGCCACTGGGCCTCAGACTCAGAGGTTATGATGAATTAGTGTGCATGAAGGATGAAATGGGCATGAAAGCTTTCCTTTCAAATGGTACACGTAAGCAACCTCCCACTCCATGTATGCATTTGAGCCCCTTTCCTAGAACCCACCAAGCATATGGAAGGAGCCGTGGAAAGTCTACTGAGAGAACACAAAAGCTAAATAGACAAGAAAAATGAATCACTGTTTCTTGTCATAACATGCTTCTCACCGTTATTTATTCTTTCTTAGAGTACATCTTTTGGTTTTTGGTGGGTTTTTTTTTCCATCTTGGGTTTTTGCCTGACCTCGGTATTTTCATGTATTCTCTCCATATTGTAGAGGATTTGTCCAGCCCTGCCTCTCTTGCCCTGACTACCCTCGCAGGTATGGCTCTGGAAGTGCCCCACACCTCCCTCCAGCACAGCTGCCTGGATTCTGCTGGACACATGACTTAAGCTAGGTTGATCAGATTATTTGAATGATCTGCAAACTTGAGAAATGTAAGACAGGCATTGTCTCTTAAGTGCTCAGGGAAGCTGAAAATTCCTGCTTCTAAAGGAGAAGAGCAGATACATGGGGGGGGGGGGCATGACGCCAGTGGAGAGAGTAGCCATCTAGAATGGCCTTCTATTTTCTGGCATGGCCATGCTCTACCCTTGGGTTCCAGAGGTCCCCCTAAATCATCACATACATTCTCTTCCTTTCTTAGGTTTCTGTGGTTCACATCCAAAAGAATATTAAGACACTAGGGGAGCAAGGCTTCACATAGATAGAACCATAGACCATTTACTAACCCAACTGCCCTGTGGAAGTCCTCAAACATTTAATCCAGAGAAACTCTCAAATAGAGAGGTTATAGGAGAAACTAGAGAGAAGGAAGGACATTGTACTGTCCTTCTGCTTTACTGTCTCACTCCCAGTGTCCTTCTGGCCAGGATCGTATGATTCTGCCCTTAATTACATAATACCCTCAATATTTTATAATATTGATGTGTTTGCTTTTTCTTTACAACTATATTCTATATCCCCAAAAGACCAGGAATGAGGTCTGATCACTTCCAAAACACAAATGTATACAAAATATACATGTACATATATTGTATATTACATTTATATTATATATATATCATTACCTATATATCTTGCCTATACATCTCAGGATTATGGAGGAGAACAAATGAGAATCTTGGGAAAACCTGTTGAAAGGTAAAAGTGCATTACAAATATTGTGGATTATTAAGGCAATGCCTAGGTAGTTTAGCGGTTTGGAGATGCTATTTTTATGTATATTGATTGAATGGGCTTGACTGAAAAGAACGGTACTGAGTCACAGGTGGTGGTGCTGAAAGGGACCCGGCCTAAAACCCTTCTGGTCATCAAGCACATTTTCAAAACGTCCTTAACAGAGGTCCTACCAGTGGCTGCCTTTGGGATGCCCTTTATAATAAGAACAGCGAGAATAGCCCCTTTATTGAGTACTCTTATTATATGCTAGGCATACAATTTATCTCACTTAATCCTCATATTTATTATTTCCAACTTCAATAGAATTTAATTTCGAACTGGTTCAAAATTAAAACATTATGAAAAGAAGCATTGAGAATTCCTGCCTCTACCCAGTCCACTGCCTCCCACACTAGTGACAACCACAACCTCCTCTGTTGGTTTCTTGCACATTCTTTGAAATATCTTTTTGTAAATGCTTTCCTCACTCCCTTCCTACGCAGAGGCAACACCTTGTCCCATTTAGATACGTCCTAGGGCTCTTTTCATATCAGTCTTTAAAGACCCCTTTTTTGCATTACTTGTATAGCTAGTTGGTATTCTATGATGTGGGTGCGCTATTGTTTGTGTAACCAATTCCCTATGGATGGACACATGGTTTGTTTTCAATAATGTGCTATTATAAATAATTCTGCAATAAATAGCTTGGAACATTTTATGTTCCACTCAGTTTTCTAGCCTCCACAGGGCTTTATCTGGCAAACACCAGGCACTCAAGAAGTACCTTATCAATAAAGCAGCCATTATTACCACATCAAAACATTAAAATTCCTATAGAAATTTCTGAAGTGATCCTCCACGAGAGAATTTCTCCCAGTTATAACATTTTCCTTAAATGTTAGGATATCCCTTTGAAATGTGTTATGTATTTAAATCAATAAGGTTGTTTTGCAGCACCCTTCAATTTTTGTAGACACCATCTATTCAGCTGCTCGGTTTACCTCCACTTCTTCCAGCCATTTAGCAGGTCACGTGCCCAGAGACAGAGAAGGATCTTTTAAACAGCTACTTGGTTCACATCACCAGAACAAAACCAAATTTGAACTAGTGTATCATAAGAGGGGATAAATAATAACCATACTTGCCAGTGAACAAATTTATCAGTTTTTCTATTTTTCATTTTTACCCTGCGAAATGATTCCTTATTCTGAGGAAGGAATTATTACAACAAGATGAGTCCAGTTTAAGCACGGGTTGACAACTAAACATATCAAATTACTTAATGAATTGGTTAGTAGTTATTTCCCTGGGGAAATTAATTGCAAGTGTTTATAACAAAATTTTTAGCCTCAGTTCAATCATTCTTTTTTTCTCAGAGCTGGGGCAATAAAAAAAAAGTAGGACAAGGTCTCTATCTTCCAGAAGTTTGCTGAATACTAGAGGAGGGAAAAATATGTTTACTGAGGATATTATAAGACAAAGCAGAGAGGTGTGAAGAGCTGTAGGAGAGCAAAGTGTTACGAGGTCAGAAGGGAGGAATAGATGACTTAACTTGCTCCCCACTGCAAACTCTCACATTTGCTGTTCTCTCAGCCTGACGTCTGCTTGCCCTGATCTCAGCAAGCACGGCAGACTCCGTCATCAGGTCTCAGCTGAAATGTAATTCCCTCAGAAAGGCCTCCCTGACTCTTGTTGCCGCCCCCAACTCCTCCAATTGTCTCATTTGAATTCTTTCAGACAATGTATGCTCATCTCAAAGTATATTCTAAGAGCAAGGACCTTACTCCTTGTTCATTCTTGTATCTCCTGAACCTAGAAACGTGCCTAGCACTCATTTACCTCATGGGTGAGAGGCAGGGTGGCCTTCTTTAGGCTACTCCCTGCCTCTTCCAAGTCACTTCTGTTACACCCTCAGGTAACAATTCTTGCCTTTTGAAGTTGATCCAAACTGTCTGAATTTGGAGGGCGGGGCACCTGTCAGTTGGTTGAATCCCATCTCAAGTCCTACTATTACCCTGGGTGATAGTGATTTCCACTTGGGTTTAACAGTTTCCAGTGACTTTCCTCATCACTCCCCTTTAATTACACTCCTTCAAGGCCAACGCCCAAAAGTGCTCCAGGTCTGATACAATAAATTCAAACATCCCACTCTTATTTTTCCCACTCTTTTATTCAGTTCCTCCCATCAAACCTCACAAGAAACATCAACTCCATGATCTTTCCATTTTTTCTCACCCACTGGCCCCCTCTTGCCTTTACTTCCTTTTTCATTTAGCTAACGGTCCATGGTCCACCTCCCCTGCACCTGTCTGGTAAAAGTTGACTGTACACCCAGCCTGCTAAGCATTGCTGGAGAAAAGTTGCACAATATTGCAGACCAAAAATTTATGACCACCAATCTCATAAGTGCTTAGCAACTATATTTCCCTAGTAGGCTCTCTCCTTTATTCTCCCTATCAGCTTTTTCAAAACTTCCTCACTTTCCTAATAACATTCAACAATACTATCTCTTCCTTACTCCAGCAGATCACCTCACTTACTACTTTAGCATAAAGAGAAGCCATCACATAGGAACCTCCACATTTACCACCAAATTTAACAACACTGACTACACCTACACCCACATCTTCCTTCTATATTCTTACTATGATGGATGATGTAGCCCTACATCCTTTACAGGGCTCATTCTGGCACCTGTGTTTGGGGTCAGCCTGGCTACTACTTCTGTGGCACATCTTTCTGGCCATAATTCTTGCTCTATTTTTAATTCCTTCCTCTACCACCAGCTCTAAAGTGTGCTTAAAACTAAAATATCCCATCTCTCTCCCCTGGCTATTCCCATTCTCCTTTCCTTTTTTTTTTTTTTTTTCCTTTCTCTCTGCCATCATTTCTTTCATTTCTCAATCATCTGATTGCTTGCTTTACTGTCCAATTCAAATGAAACTTCTGACACAAATCGCTAATAAATTCTTTGTTGCAAAATCAAATGGATGTAATTTAGTGCTAATTTTACTTAAACTTCTGGCAACATCTGACTCTGCTGACTCTCTCCTTCTTAAAACTCTGGCCTTCTTTGGCACCCATGACACCATACTTTTTCGACTTTCCTATGACCTGTTAACTACACCTTTCTGGCTGCAAATTCTTCTTCCTTTGACCATTTCTTACAGTTTGAGATTAATTACCCAGGGTTCTGCTGTAGGCCTTCTTCTCTGTTTACTTCACACCTTTCACCAGGTGATCTTATCTAAAGATTCTAATCACTGCTTATATGCTAAAGGTTCCTAAATTTATATTTTTACCTCACTTGCACTTCAGACCCCATACATCAACACTGTCTACTGAATAACCTAATCTAGATTATCCACAGCATCTGAAATTAAAAATGTTCAAAACTGAGCTCATTCTTTTTTGTCCAAAACTTGCTCCTATTTCATGGAATGGTACCAACATTATTTAGTTACCCAAGAAAGCTAGCCATCAGCTTTGACTCCTCCTCCCTCAAACTTGCTCTCCCCTCACCCTGATCTGTAGATAATGGTTAAATTGTGAGGACTCCACCCTTTTAAAAAAAAAAAACCTCATTAATTTATCTCTACCCCTGTGGAATCCTAATTTAAGCCACTATCATCTGTTTTTGTTTTTTAGATTACTGCAACAGTCTTTTAATTAGTCTCCCATCTCTAGCTTGAAGAACCCTCCAATCTATTTTCCATACTGCCTCTAGTGAACAGTATCTCTAAAATGCAAATGTGACCCCAGGGTAGAACCTTTCAGTGGCTTTCCACTGAATTCTGACCAAATCCAAACACTCGACTCCGGCTTACACAGACTTTCATGATCTGGCTCGTGCTTACCTCTGGCCTGTCTCTTGGTGCCACTCTTTCTCACATTGTCTATATCAAGGTTACTGAAATCCTTTTCTATCCCTGAAAACTTCAACCTTTCTCTTGCCTATGGGTCCTTACACAATCTGTTTCTTCCATACTCTGATGCTCCCTCCCCACCCACTGTTCTGTCTGCTTCCTCTCCGTGCCCTTTCAGAGCAAAACTTCAATGTCACTTCCTCCAGGAAGAATTCCGTCCTTCCTATCCCTAGCCCAACCGGACCCAACCCAAAGCAAATACAGGTTAAGAGCATTATCTTCTATGCCCTCCAGCGGCAATCTGCACTTACTCATCAAAGCACACAGGGCACACTGTTTGTCTTTCATCCTGCCCTGCCCCTCAAATCATCAGTGTCATGTGAACAAGAACCTCTTGCATTCCTCAAACCATAGCAATTCCATGACTCTGAAGTAGAGTTTATCAAAACAATAGACAGCTAGAAAAATTTTTGAGTAAATATTGAAATAAGTAATAAATCACATCAGCCTCAGCTGGTGTGGGTCAGTAGACTGAGTACCAGCCTGCGAACCAAAGGGTCGCCAGTTGGATTCCAAGTCAGGTCACATGCCTGGGTTGCAGGCCAGATACCCAGTAGGGGCACTGGAGAGGCAACCACACATTGCTCTTTCTCTCCCCCTCTTTCTCTCTCCCTTCCCCTCTATCTAAAAATAAATAAATAGCCCTGGCTGGTGGGGCTCAGTAGATTGAATGCTGGCCTTCGAATCTGGGGGTCACTGGTTTGATTCCCAGTCAGGGCACATGCCTGGGTTGCAGAACAGGTCCCCAGTGGGTGGTGCATGAGAGGCAACCACACTTCGATGTTTCCCTCCCTTCCCCTGTCTTTAAAAATAAATAAATAGATAAAACCTTTAAAATAAATAAATACATAAAATCTTAAAAAATAATAATAAATTGCATCAGTTGTATGGGGGAGGGTGGGAGGAAATGGCATTGAGGAAGAAGTGGTATATGAGTATGAGTTAGGACTCAAGGCCTGGGTAGGTCTTAGTCAAGAAGAGGGGAAAAATTTATACCACACCAAGGAACTACACAAGCAGAGGCAAGAAGATGTGCTTCCAAAGCCAGGTTCAAGAGGCTATGTGAAGGAAGATAGGGAGAATATGAAACTGGAAAGATGGACTACAAATCCACATATTGGAATTAGGAGTAATAATTTTGTAACTTTATGAAAATGACAGGCAAAAATGTTACCAATTAAACTCTGAAATGGACCAAAACAGTTTTTCCTAAATAAATGTAACATTTAATAAATGTAACTTTCTCTAAGTGGTGCTAGACCTGAAACATTTTTTTTTACCTTGTGCTTTTTCAGTGTATCCAGGTCATGAGCAGCATCTTGTGAGCCTATAAGAAATAAATCATATCACCTTGAACATAAAAATAATCATCCTGACTTTTTATCCAATTTTTGCCACAATTCTGTTAGTTTTTCATTTGTTTTAAGAAATACAACTTGGGAGGACCTCATTCTAAGTTTCTGAAAGAAGTGTGGTAATAATTACAAAAATACTCACATCGTATATACTCTTAGACTAAGATATCCCACTTTCAGGAATTTGTCTTAAAAGTTCTGGATGTTACAAAGATCAGCTATCAGGATGTTTATTATAGTATTGTTTGTAATACCAGAAAAATAAAACAACCACCTAATTATAGGTTGTTTTTAAACTTATTAAAAAACAAAGCCCAATAATAAGCATTGGGTTAAATAAAAGATGGTCCAATTGAGTAGTGAAATATGTAGATACTAGAAGTGACCAATGTAGAAGAATATTTAGAGTATGGAAATGTATTAGGTGGTAAAAGCAGGTTACAAAATATCACCATCCATTCTTGTAATAACAAAAAAATGTGTATGCTTAAAATGGACAGGAAATACATAGAACAAAATGTTAGTGTAATTACAGGTGATTTTTTCACACTTATTTGTAATTTTTACAATAAATATTTGTTTTGAAACAAACAAAGGATTTGTTTTAAAAAAAGATATTTTAAAAAAGACAGTACCAGCTGGTTTGGGAACACCCAAACAGACTTAGTACCAGTTGGTTTGGGAACACCCAGTAGATTTAAGCAAACAATGTTGGTCTGTAGAATTCCACCCACATGCTGTGCACCAGGAGGGCTGTATCCTTTTACGGTTTCTGTCAAAGTTGGCTTTCCAGATTTGTGACGCTTGGAAGTGGACTCTAAATAATAAGCAATTTCTTACAAGTGAATAACTAGTTAAAATAAAGTGAATTATACAATTAGAAAAATAGGATATTTATTATTCAAGTATTTTACTCTCCCACATTAGGTTCTAGTTTCATAAATAATATTCTTCTTACCTTACCTATCTGGGAAATCTGCCAACTTCTATGACATGATTTTAGGTAGCTGAAAAGCCAGTGAGTGTGCTGGTTGGTCAATATTCTCTTGGAATACAAAGCTCACAGACTCCTCACTGAGCTTACATTCAACTTTATTCTGCCTCAAAGTTAGCCTATCAAAATATTACCATTTGTTAAAGCTGAATGGTGAACACATGGTGGTCTGTTATAGTATTGTCTGGAATTTTCTATGCATTTGAAATACTCTGTAATTTTATTTTATTTTAAATATTTGTCTATTTTTAGAAAAAGGGAAGAGAAGGAGAAAGAGATGGAGAGAAACATCAACGTGAGAGAGAAACAGTGATGGGCTGCCTCTCCTATGCACCCCAATAGGGGATCCAACCCACAAGCCAGGCATGTGCCCTAAGAATCAAACCAGCAACCTTTCACTTTGTGGGGGGCTACGCCCAACCAACTGAGCCACACCAGTCAGGGCAACACTCCAAAATTTTTTAAAGTTTCTCAATTTTTTATCAAAAGGCCTAAACACCTGGGCCAGGTGGGGAATTGGATCAAAAGACTTCATTGGAATTTGGTAATTTAAAATGCACTCATGTTTTAAATAATAATTCTACTCTTACTAGTCCTTAAAATAAAAAGAAAAATCTATTAATGAAATCCTTTCCTATATCTTATCAGGGGTGTCCAACCTGTAGCCCACGGGCCACACAGGGCCCAGGATGGCTGCGAATGCAGCCCAACACAAAATCGTCAATTTACCTAACATATTGTAAGATTTTTCTTGTGATTATGTGTTGCAATCAATGTATTTAAATGTGTGGCCCAAGACAACTCTTTTTCTTCCAGTGTGGCTCAGAGACACCAAAAGTTTGGACACCCCTGCAACCGTTATTATACTTTGATCATTTCCATTAAACATATACATATACACATGCCAAAAGAATAGGTCTATCATATTTCAGAGGTGGCTGCCATATTTTGAAAGTGAATTCCAGAGTATGAATATGTTGATAAAAATTTAATATTCTTGCGACAAAAAAATGCCACTTGCATGTTCTTTTTAAACAATAAGAAAATTACAGAGTGTTAATAGTATAGAGGAACAAAATTTTAGCCAACACAAATGGACTTCAGGTAATAGTTTGTATGTTTCATCTAATACTTACTAGTATTCAAGTTCATTCTCTCTAAATTCTAGATATAAACATCAATTTTATTCCAATTTTAAATGGCTACTTTGTGTTGCAGTCTTGTATTAAACTGTTATTGGTAAAACAGTTACTATTACAAGAAATAAAGACTAAATGCTATGTTTTGACATGTTATTAAAACCTTTGTTTTGTTAAAGTAGTATACTATCCTTTTATAAACTATCTTACTCAAGATTTAAAAACAAGTATCAAATTTGCCCTTGTCAAGTATATTAGTTAGTTGGAGCATCGTCCTGATATGCCAAGGTTGTAGGCTTGATGCCCAGTCAGGACACATACAAGAATAAACCGATAAATGCACAAATAAGTGAAACAACAAATTGATGTCTCTCTCTCTCTCTCAAATCAATAAATAAAAATTAAAAAGAATAAAAATAAATACCAATTTTAAGAATTTGATTATTTTAATGGTGGCTTCATGAATCTGTACCTGTGCTAAAATTCATAGAACTGAATACTAAGCCAATTTAACTGTATGACAATTTTTTAAATAATAAAAAAGAAGTTGAATAGGGTTAGAACTAAAATAGGTGTAATGATAATAATAATAATTTATAGTTATATTGTACATTGACAAAAATTGCTAAAATTCATTATCTTGGCCCAGTCTTATTATGAAATTATTACAGATGCAATAAATGATTTAAAAATAATACAGGGGTGGGAAAGAGTGGGTTTGCAGTTATAATACAAATAAATAATAAATGGCAATACAAAAATAAAATTTGTTTTGTGTATTCACAACTGTAACCTACTTTTGCCCACCCCTGCATATATTACATGTTGTTGGAGTTGAGACCTTGAACAAGTTCAATGGTTTGCAAACATAATATATGTATTATAAAAAACAGGCTACATAAGATCTCCAGAATCCTGTTTCTATTTCTTGAGATTTTTTTTACAAAAACAGCAAATATTGTATAAATTGTGATATATCTTAATTTACAAATCACTTTACACCATTATAAAAAAAAAACAAAAACACTTTATTACATCACTAAAAAAAATAACTGATATTCCAAAGAGAAGTATTTTATTTGATAACGTTTGTGGGAATGACTGTTCATAGACAGAAATAGGAGTATAAATTAATAGGATAAGTTAACAATATTTGTGAAAGAATTTTACAAAATAAAGAGCTATACAAATTTAATGTACTACCTGTCTCCCCCAAATATTAAACTTCCTAGGTCTTAGACATCCTCTATAATCTCATAAAAGATCCCAAGCTTTTCACCTAGAATTTAAGAGAAGATCTCAAAATGTCACCAACTGGGACTTCTTAACAGAATGACTATAACAAAATAATAAGTGCAGCATTTAACTACCCAAGAAAAACAGAATTTTCTACTTTTATAAATCAAGTTCGCCCCAAGAAAAGTGGTAGTGACTTTTGTTGTAAAAATGTAATTTGCAAAACCTAGGACAAAAATGCTCACTGAGATCTTTTAGCAACCTGATTGACTGTTCAAGGGCCTATGTATGATTTTTGAATGGCAAAAGCTTGTTTGAATTTATGAACCACCTTATAAAGGACAGATTATATTTTTAAAACATAGAATATATTAAAATTACATTTTCAAAAGTCAGATCATAATTTATATAAGTATATTTATTCTATTTAGCTCTCTATTTTCTTTACTACCCACCAAAAACATAAGTTAATTGGCATGCTGTGCTGGGTTGGAGTTGTGCTTCTTTGAAGAGGTGAAGGAAGCTCTTGAAAGCAACCTAGAAACAATTCCCATCTCCAGAAAGAAACCTAGTTTGCTCAGAAACAACCCCTGCATCATTCATGTGGAAGGACCTTAGATGTAATCATCCAAGGGTCCCTAAAGAATAAGACACTTGTAACTGGGCAGAAAAAGGTCAATCCACTTTTCAGAAAAAAAGGAGGTTGTGCCTGATGAAAATATCCCAATTCCTGGTGTAGAGAAGGGGACCAAATAAGGACTAGTTTCACAAGCCCTTCCCAGGACTCTCCTAGGGTCCTGGGAAGGCTTCCAAGGCCAATCGGAGAATACTGCTGTCATCCACTCACTTTGGATAAGTCTAGATCAGCGATTTTCAACCTTTTTCATCCCATAGCACACATAAATTAATTATTAAAATTCTGCAGCACACCAAAAAATACATTTTGTGCTGATCTGACCAAAAAAATAGGTATAACTGTATTCGTTCACACTGGATGACTATTGTTGCATTAGCGGTCATTTTTTTTTATTTGACAATATAAGGGAAAAGAGGTCAGTGCCCCTGACTAAAGTCAGGTATTGCATGTTTTAAAAATTCTTGTGGCCCACCAGTGTGTCTGCTGTAACACACCAGTTGAAGATCACTGGTCTAGGTAAAAAAAAATAATAATAAGCAAAATTTAAAATTCTACAATAATTTCAAACCATTATTACTCACAATGGAAGCCAAATAACTGAAAAATGTGCCTGGACATATTCCTTCCTAGAAATGGTTTGCAAATCCTGGATGAACCTTCCAGACTAGCTAGATGGCCCAATTAATTTTTCACTGGGCTGCAGAAACTATTTGCAGATATTTATTTGGTGAATTTAACAATAGCTCATGTAACAATTCGTATAATAGACAACACAATAACAACTCATATGTATACAGCAATTGATTTGTTTCAAAAGCTTTTCACAAAAGAAAATAAAACTTTTACAACAACCTCAGAACAACCCTATGAGATAAGCAGATACTGTTACTTCGCTTTACAGGTGGCTTTTCAGGAGGCCCAGGAAGATAAAAGACTTGTACTAGCTCATCTAGTAAGACAGAGGCACAGCAGCGCTGAAAACCTGGACTCTCTGAGACAGTCCATATATCCATGGAGAACAGGAGTCAATCAGATTTGAGTTTGATGTCTAGCTGTTATTTACTTGAACAAGTTACTTTACAAATCTTAAATCCAGTTCCCATCTGTAAAATGGAGCTGATAATCCCTTCTTCACTTCTTTCAAAGGAAGTGAGATGCTGTGTGCACTTCACACAATCCCTGGCTATTTCTGGACTTCTAGTCCAGGTGTGGCTTCATAAATATTGATGAGTTCTTTCCAAGTCTTAATTTCTCTATTTATAAATGAAAAACTATTCAAACCGACCTGAAAACATTGTTGACTATTTTTTTAAAGAATACTGTACTGTATTATTGCCTAGCTAACAATAATATAAAAGTTGATACATTTATATCTGTACTTCGCTTGCTATTTACAGATTAATCTGTGTATAGAAAATCAGTAATTTCCATGATACATACAAAAAATCATAAAATCATCAGACTCATAGCTATAAAAGTCCTCCTTTTCCTTAACAGTCTGTAAACTGCCACCATGGGCAGATGTGGTCTCAGGAGGCATGCATTCCCTATGGTTTGTAAGAGCAGAACAAGCAAACAAGCACTTGACTATTTCAGGTACTAACTTTTCAATAACTTTAAGTTGAAACTTGAAGCTTTGCCTAATAAGAGCATTCTTTCAAATTTGATTTTTCAAAAGTTAGGTCCTTTTATAATTAAAGAAAATACTACATTAATGTCTTATCCTCCAGAGAAGTTAGAAAAACAAAAAGAAAGCTTTTCTAAAAATTCAAATACCAGGTACTGTGTGCTACTGGCACCTACACTTCCTGTGGATTTATTGTGGGGGCAGAGACATTTCTATCTAGCTAATGGAAATCTCATGTCTAAAAAAGGAAACATTTGAACTCTCCGCCAGGACAGCTGATAGTACAAACTATTACATATTAAGGGGAATAATGATAAAGTAATATGATCAAAGGCCTCAATGACAAGTCAATATACTCACCCAGGAGCAACCACGGCTTAATAATGCCAACTTGCAGGTCCAAGCTAAGATCCTGCACATAACCACAAGCACCCCCACCGCTCGGCTCTACTTCTTCCACAACATGAATTCTGGCATCTTTCCATGTTTCTATTATTTTCTTTCCAGTTAACGTTGTCACCCTGGTGCATTGCTTCCTGAGATTATTCCGGGAGAATGCTTTAATTTCCTGGTTAAGGGAGTGCATTACATGAGCAATGACTAGGAACAAACACAAGCAATTCCAGCCAGCACAGAAAAGGGGTGAACTGCCCGTCCCTTGACGCTCAGGTAACAAACGCAGCCTCAGGGGTGCACCGCCCTCAGGTAACAATAGCAAACAACAAACCCCCGAGAGACCGACTTCCGGCTCGCTTTTTCCCCAGCGCCCAAATGTAAGACAAATTCTGATTGGACCTTGAGAAACAGGCGCCGATTGGATGCCCTTTGGTCAATGGAAAACCTGCGTTTTACCTGTAGGTTCAAGGAATCCACCAGATTGTTTTCTTACTGGTGCTGTTTAAATCTAGATTTATGAGATTTAACTGGAGAGAAAGCTGGTATTTCCGAACTTTTCAAAAGCAGTGATTTTCTTCTATGTTTGACTTGTGCTAGTGAACGAGGTGATATGGACTGACCTGGGTATTGAGCCTGCTTTATTCAGCAAGACGGCTTAGTCACAGTACAAACCTTCCTGCCCCCCAGAGCCGTCCTGCCTGCCTGCTTTTAGGTTAATCCACGCGGGTCTACAGCAGACAATCAAAGTTATTTCTCACTTTCTGCCCTTCGCACCTCCTTTTTCTGCTGTTACTGCCCACAGGACGTTTTGTGCATTTGTGAAATAACAATTTACATAAAATCTGCAAAGATTTTTTAAGTTTTAAAATTATTTCTGTATGCAGATTGACAAGAGCTTAAAACATATTTTTTCTGACATCCTACATTTTCACTATCTGTAAAACTGCCGAAGAAGCCTGCTTTGCAGTAAATATATACCCACACTCTAAGGAGCATTGCAGCAAGTCCTTCCACAGGGGTTCCCAAACTCAAGCATGTATACACCCAAGTTTACAAAACACCAATTAAAATGATGATTTTCATTATAAAAGGGTGATTTTTTTTGTCCTGCAAAGGAAATCACAAGATTTCTTTGAAATTTTTCTTTCCCCACATTGCATTCAATGAAAACATTCTCCAATACCACATATTATAACTTTTGTTGGGTTGACACTGATGTAAAATTAAAATAAACCAAGTTTTTTCCTGTTAAAAGGAGTGATATATCAGCCCAGGCTATGTACAGGGCACTCTAAAATAATCCATTGAAACATTTATTTGCATCGTTTAATCACAGGTTCATCAAAAACAACTTTAACCACAAATCATTCCATGTATTCATCATAAATGAAAAAACTACCAACTATTGAGCACTTAAATGCTAGGTACTATGATTATAAGCAATTTTTAGGTTGCCATTGTTACCCATCTGGCACTTACTGCTGCTTCATAGACATTATCCCATTTGATCTCACACAAAGCCGATTATGTATATAGTAGTATAATCATCTACACTTTACAACTGAAAATGTTCAGGTGCAGAGATCAAAACACATATCCTACATTTTCCAGCTCATAGTTTATAACCACAAATAACACCTAGGTTTGTTTCAGTCCAGTACCTTAGTTCATATTTACTGTGAAATACTATTCTGCTCCCAAAATAATTGTAGTTAATAAATATCTATTGAGCACCTACTATGCCTACTATGTTATAGTTACTTGGGATATGGCAGTGAATAAAAACAAAGTTTTGTTTTCTATGGAGTTTATATCCAAGTGGAGGGAGTGGAGATATATATATATATATTTCAGCTTTTTTGTCGTTTCGGGATCTACTGAGGTTGATGGAGAAGCCTGATGTGTGCTCTCATTTAGGGGTGAGGAAGATGAGGAGGATCCAGATAGGAAAACTGATAAGGAGAGGTCCAGGAGATGGGAAAGAGAGATCTGAGAGTATAAATAAAGTGTTTCAAGGAGGGCAGCGTGATCAGCTGTATCATATGCTTCTGACAGTGTTGAATAAGATGAAAACTGAGCACTAATACTGTATCTAAAGGCCTCCCCAGCAAGAAGTGATTCTATGCCCCAGCATTATACAAATATCATCTGATTCAATTCTCATGACAAACCAATGAGGGAGGTAATATCTTCTATATTTTTAAAGAGGACATTTTATTCTAAACTTAAGGGCCTGGTGTTTGGATTTGCTTGTCAGATTCCAGTAACAAGGATAGCTGAATAGCGTTCTTCTTACTCAAAAGTATGTTCTCTGTACCACGTCACTCTATAGCAGACAGGTAGAATTGCTGGTTGCACATTGATAGCTTCAGTCCTTGCTGATAATACTGTAATACTAACATGCTAGCAGTAAGTAGCATTAGGTATTAATACACTGATTCTATTCACTGACTATCCAACTTAACTCTTCATTTTACAGAAGAGAAACCAAGGTCCAGAAAAGTAAATGGATTTGCCTGATGTCACATCACTTGTGACATATAGTGAAGTAAAACAGGTACTAAATATTGAGGCAAGAGACTGCGTTTCTTGTTCCACTTCACTATCTGGTTTTCCAAAAAGTCCAATAAGGGCAAAAATTTTTTATACACATCTAGCTGGGATGCCGAGGCGTTGGGAGATGCATCTCTCTCTCAGGCCCGGAAACCTAACAAAAGAGAAAGAAGAGACAAAGTTTATGAGACCCAGGCCGAATTGAGAAGGCAGCATTCCACCCACAAAGAAGCCATTGCCATTGCTGGGACATGACTGATAAAGGGTTGTTCTGAAAGAGGGGGCACATCCTTACAAGGGCTATGGGGCCCTAGATCTGAGGAAAAGGGGTAGTGTGAAGTGAACACATCCTGGAATATGTTTCCATGCCACCACCACAAAACTTTCTCTTCTAACAGATTTAGAGTGTCTATAAGTGCTATGCTAGTCATTTTCCAAGTATCACCTCTAAATCCTCACCCAAACCTCACTCTTAGGTAGACTAACTGAAATGCAAAAAGCTAGTAAACCGTGGTTTCCATATTCGACCTCAGCTCAGTTGGATCCCAATGCCCACTTTCACCCCACTACGTTACACAATTTTACATATTACATAAGAAGATAATTATGGGAGTGTGTAATCTTCATTAATTCAGACAAGGGTAGAAAATAAATAATCAAAAATATACTTTACATTAACATTTTTGGCTTGAGTTCACAGTCTCAATTCTGCACTTCACAGAGAACATGCAGACACAGCCTGAAATAAACACAGAAAAAAATACCAGCTTCTCGCATGACTATGGCACTGCTCCTTTGTGAACTTTTTAAAGACACTTCCAAAAAAATTAGTTCAATTAGCGCAATCCGAATGGAAGCTTTCTTTTTGAATAGAGTGTCTCATATAAATTTGTTACAAGAACATTTTGATGACACAACATTTTTTGCTTCTGTATGCATGGTTATAACAATAACCAAAAAAGCAATAAAAACAGAAGCAGAAACTTTCTGTATTTCCTCCTGAATATTAATTATTTGCATGTCTGTGGTGATATTTAAGGATCTCACAAAGCCCAGAACAACTGAGATCTTTTCAAACCCCAGAGAAAAAGCTTAGGGTGTAATTCAGAAATTTAGAGTTCAATCCTTTATAATGCACATTTAAAAAAAATAAGTAGGCTTCACATATTTGTCTAAGCCTTTTTTATCTTTTCTACCTCCCCTCAAAAAACAAGTCATTTTTGTTTTAATTGTTGAAATTAGTAAAATGCTAGGTAGGTAGGCTACCTTTAGGAAATACACCAACCAACAAGCATTTACGGAGTATCTGCAATGAACTTCATACTCCATCAAACAATGTAAAGCTACACCCAAAATGGTATTTTATTGGATTTAAGATTATAAGGTACACCATTATTTTATGAACCACCAAGAAAGAAGAAATACTGCCCATTAATAATATTGAAAATGTGCATTTCATAATTAATACAATTCTCCTTTTAAAGATTTTATTTATTTATTTTTAGAAAGAGGGGAAGGAAGGGAGAAAAAGAGGGAGAAAACACTGACATGAAAGAGGAACATCTGTAGGTTGCTTCCCTTACAGTGCCCCTGACTAGGGAGGGACCAAACACAGTCATGTGCCCTGACCAGAAATGAAATCAGTGACCTTTCACTTTGTGAGATGATGCTCCACCCACCTGAGTCACACTGGTCAGGGCAGGATTAATAAAAGTCAACAACTAAAAGTGGATTCTAATTAATTAGTATTATTCTTCCATTTGGGAGCTTATTGTTCCATTGGGGGTGGAAATCAACCAAGAAAAAATAAATCACAGAATAAGAAAAACGGTATTAAAAAAACAAGGAAGTAAAAAATTATTCCTATTGTGGAGAAACTTCTTAGCTGTAAAGAAAGTATATATAGGGAATAAAATTTCCAAAGTATGGGGAGTCTAGATTATATAAGCTTTAAAAATGAGGTGGGGATGTTTGGGTTTGCAATGTTTATGAATAATAGGTACAACATGACAACTGATTCAGCCTAGATTATTATACGGGCTGAATAAAATAAGCAGCGGACCAATTAGGAACTAAAGAAATAATCCAGGTATAAGGAACATAAAAACTTGGCTTGCGTTGAAACCCATAAGAAGAACTGATGACTCAAAAGGCGCTTTTTAAAAATAAATAAAAGATATTAAAAGAATGAATATAGGGATTGAATAAAGAGGCCATCAAAGATGACTTGGCAGTTTAAAGCTAGGGAAACTTGGACACTAGGTTTTGAGGGTTATGAGATGTATTTTATAGTGAAAAGCCAAATTTTTTTTTAGGTTCTGACATATTGTAAACATTCAATAAGTATTCATGGATGGATGAATGAATGAGTGAAGCCAGGGCATCTGAGTTAAGTTGAACCCATTGACACAGAGGTGATGATTGAATGAGAAAATACAAATTTTTCAAAGAAGCCAGTTTAGAGAAAGCCCAGTCAAGGATAATGCCCTGCAGGACAAACTCTGGGGCCCTGAACGCTGGTGATATATGAAAAGAAACCAGATACAGAGAAGTTATAGAAACCAGTAGAAAACCTGGGCAATGAAAATGTAATCAAAGGTTAAAAAAAGTTTCAAAAAAAAATCTTTTCCAATGAAATAAAAAGTTAGAGAGTGGACAGGATACAGAGAACCAAAAAATCTAACTTAACATGATAACAGATCAAGTGGTGATTTTACATAGAACAGTTTCAAAAGAATGGTGAGGATAGCTGTCAGATTGGAGGGGATAAAGGGATTTGATGGATTGGAAGTG